CGCGGATGGTCGGAGGAATCCTGACCGGTCCAGTCCCCACCTTGCCCTGCTTCAATGCAGCTTCACGCTCTTCGGGGGTCTCGGTCTGCCCCATGCTCACGCCGTGATGGGTCATCATGGCCTGGCATTCTTGGGGCAGGCGTGGCACGACACCACCAAGAGCAAGAGTAGCAAGCCTAGCGGTTAGCGTTTTTCCATAACTCCAAGAAAACATAGAAAACCTTCAGCTTAGGGAAGAGGAAGTCTCACAATAGTGAGTACACAAGAGATCTACCGGAACCTGGGGAGGTTTGCATCGGACGAAGTCGGTGGTTTGGGATCCAAGGAGGTCGCCAGACACTTCGCCCACGTTCGCCCAGCGAACTCCTTGGATCATCCTGCCACGGACGGTGGCCACGGAGTGAGTCAGTCCGTGTCACCTCCAAGTACTTCTTCCGCCACTGTCCATCTGCATATTGATGCAAGAACTGCGGCACACTCCCAGGTCCATCTTGCTGCACGAAGGTACCCTGTGAGGTGCACAACAGGATGAGGTTCTTTGGATCGTCCCAACTCCTGGCAAGGGAGCTGAAAACCCAGCCACCCATCCATAGCCATGCCCCATGGCCATGCCCCACCAGGACCTTCCAACAGGTGGTTGTTGCCGGGTGGGCACCGCTGCGCACCTCTGGTCACCAGGAAACACCTCGACTGGAGGGTCCGGGCATCTGTGGCTTACATCAGGATTCTTAAATGGCTTGTTGGGAGTCCTTTTCGTTGGAGTTGCTCCAGTAAATCCATTCACCTTTCACAAGCAAAGCCAGTCATCACCCATTCAATCCCTGTCTGTCTTCAACCGGTTTGGTACAGGTTTTACCCAACTCCTGGTCTGGTAATTGAAGGTGTCCGGATAGAACTCCTTCGCCCGCCCGAACAAGCCGCCCTTCTCCACAGGTAGGAATACCGCTTGAAAGCGAATGCCCACACTGTGATCCCGGGCGCACAAAAGGGAGGTGTTGCCAGGGATGCTACCTGCATAGCTGCCATACTTCCCGAAGTCGGTCAAATACCTGCTCGACCGAAATGCGGCTCGACCGGCTCGACCTATGTCGACCCAGGTGGAGGAGAAAAGAAATCGTCCACAGATCTCATAGCCATTCCCACGGATTTTGGCAATTTTCTCTCCAAACTCGATATTAAAGGGGCCACATCACCTGAAATCCACATGGAGTTCTTTCATGCAGGCAGGATCGAAGGGAGAAAATTCCATAAGCCCAACCCAACAGCAGGCATTCTCCCCATGACTGGAGAGCAAGGAAGAACAGCTGTAGCACCCCCATGACTGGAGAGCAAGGAAGAACAGCTGTAGCACCATCTGCCATGGGCTGAAGAATGCTACCATTACCTACAATTCTTTCACAAAATGTATAATATATATATATATATAAGGTCTTTTGGACTGTTTTGGTGGTCCTTTTTTCCTCAATAGACATCTAGAGCGCCCAGAGTGCCCTTTAAACCAAAAAAAGAAACACACAGTTGCGGCCCAAGACGGACCAAGAGACTTGTCCAAGGTCACGGGCTCCAAGGACTTGGAGTTCTCTCCCACCAGCAGCGCCACGTCGGTGGCCTTCACGCGTCCAATGCGTTCGTTGAAGTTCTGGGAACGGACGACCTCAACGTCCGGCGCTGCTTGCAAGCATGAAAAGACTCGATGGCACCAACCACCCTCCAATTGGATTGAAAAACCTCTGAAAAACATGGAGGGGTGGATCAATCAATGAGTCATGAGTCATCATTAGTCTAAACTGAGCTTGCGAGTCCATGCGCGGACTTGCGCCAACCCTTACTGGTATTGGATGGAAAAACCTCTGAACAACAGGGTTATCAATCAATTAGTCTAAACTTAGCTCTGAATGCTCCGGGAAGGCGCTGCGATTCGTTTCTCCTGACTTTGTGAAATGTGAGTTTTCCGTGAACTGGCACGTCGTTCTTCGAGGGACACCGTGAGGACACCGGCTGCTGTTTGCAATTCACTCGCTCTGAGGCGGGTCCAAAAGGATTTGAAGTAAAACATGCAGGAACAAACAAATGTTAAATATATAGATATATACTGTACTGCTATGAACACATTCATATATATATATATATAAATATAACAATGAATGATTCTCATCGGGATTGCTTCAAAGCAATGATGTCTCCGAAAACTTGTCCATCCCACGCTCCCACGAGCTGCGTCCTCGCGGCCAGAAAATCTTCGCCGTCCTTTCCCTTGAGGCGCGCATCGGTGATGTTGCTGCCCCAGCAACTGCCCTGCTGCCGCTGATTGTCGTTCCATGATACGAAGAGAGCCTTGTAGTTGGGATTGTGCTGTTGGCAAACACCTCAGGCTGGGCCCGGCAGATCGCACGGCGGATGGATGGCAGAGAGGAAGTGGCGTGAACCGAGTGAACTGCCTCCCTTTTGCATGTGCATTCCCAGTGACGAGGGGGAGGCTGGAAGGTTGCAAGAGGATGGGTCATAGGACACGGTTTGACCACAGAAGAATCAAGAATTAAGCAAGAATGCTCCTAGTAGCGTCCATGCTCCTAGTAGTACGCGTCCTTGCTCCTAGTAGCGATGCCAGGAGCCCCTAGTAGCTTCTTGTCACTCAAGAAACTCATTGAAGCACATCCAAGATGCTGTTGATCTGCTGCTCCATGTTGCCAATCACTGTATCACGCTTCGGCGCGACACCAGCCCCGAACAAGCTGTTCAAGGCCATGAGGAACTAGGCAAAGGCTGCGTTGGGAAGCTGGCAAGCGAGATCTGAGTTTGAGCCGCTGGTCTTTCACAGCAAAAATGCACACCGCCAAGCCCCTGCCAACAAGCGTCACTGTGCGAACAAGGAGCAGCAAGAGAGCCAAGAGTTACCCACAAAAAAACAAACTGCATTTCGACTATGGCACAACAATGGGTCGCGACCTGTCGACGGTCCCATCTGTTGGGCATCTCCATGTACTCTTCCCTGGGCCCAGTGGATGATGGTTCAGTTGGCCGGCCTCCATCTCTTTCCACTCGTGGTTCTTGTGTACCGACTGGGCCGTCATGGGACACCCCAACATGCTGCTCTTCCATCCCCCGTCCAAGCTCGCTCCTGGCTCGGTCCAGGCCCTCGGTGTGCCTCCGGATCTGCGGGCGCTTGGGATCCGTGATCGGGGCAAGCAGGTTCTTTGACCTAAGAACTTGCTCCACCTTATAGACTTCCATCTGACCATGAAAAGAATGGGAACGACCTGGTTTTTGGTCATGTACAATCCTTAGTTGATTCGGGGCTTAGCCTATTAAACTAGTTGTTGGAAGCCTAGGGTCCATGAAGACGATGATCCCCATGTTGGATCGGAGCTCAGGGCCAGGGCGGCCAGGGTCGATCTCATGCGAGACGATTTCACCACCTTGGTCTCTGGATGAGGTGTGGCGGATGAAAAAACCCTGCAAACCTCCTCCTCCAGATTCCTCCAGTATCCTTGCCACACCCTGGCACAGCAACCACATCCTGATCCTTTCCCACGTGCCTCCACCAGTGCAAAGCTTTTCGCACGAGGCAGTTCTGGCAGGTCAAACTCGTGCAACTCCGAGCTTCTGCCAGCCACGCCAAGCTGCCTTGGGACACATCGACCAAGGACGCGGTCTCGTCGGTGGCACCCAATGCTGCACCATCTCAGCAACCCCCAATGCCGGCGCAGAAAGAAGCCATCGTGCTTCGAATGGATCCGAAGGTGAACGAGGAAGTGAAAAAACGATCGTCTTCCACATGCTTTCCACCCACATGCGCCCACGCCCCCTCCTCGTCCTCTTCAAGACTCACTGCCACTGCCCGGGCGAGGCGCCATCGCCCTTCCACGCCCAGTGTTCGGCAGACCGACCGGACTGGCGGTGGAGGCCTCATGTCAGTGACACCCTCTGACTGGAGACCAGCTGGTAGTAAGAGATCTGCAAGTAAGTTGATGGGTGCCTGGAAAGTTTGGGTGTGATGTTCATCTTCCACCAGGGTATCATGCGAGAATCTCATCAAGCTCCACTTCCGGCTCCCCCCCCTCCCAGGTCCTTTTCGCTCCAGGCTACTCCTTGCCCTCTTCACGGGCTCCAAGAGTCGAAACTCCAAAGCTCCAAGCGCCATGGTCATCACATGCATCGATGTAGCTCTGAGCCCACACGTGGCGGCGCATCGGATCTCCGGTCGGGCTCGGGTCGGAACAACGCGACACGCGCGACGCGGTGCTCCGCGGTGCTCCGCGGTGCTCCGGTCCGGAGGTGGATCGGTCCAAGGGATGCAGGACGAATGGACAACGGTGGAAACAGGCAGGGCCGCATGGGGCCGGGCCGCTGCCTTCGAAAAAGGGTCCCCGACATGTTGGACTCCGCTAGGGACCGAACGATCCAACCAAAGGGCGCGCACGTCCCAGCATCGAGGATCATGTCCAGACTCTCTGTGGGCTCGGGAGGCTCGGGGTCTGGATGTTGTGTACTGCGGCTGCCCTCAAAACTTGGGAGAAGAACCCTGTCAGGAGATGCCAAAAGGGTCTTTCATCGACGACTCAGAAAAAGACCTCAGAAAAAGGAAGCCCCCCTTCAAACTCTAAGTCTCCAGTCAGTCTGCTTCTGTGATCTTCCGTGTGCCTGTTCTGAGAACAGAAGCAGCGCCTGATCTACATCACACCCAGCCGGTCCAAAACCAAAATGAATTGGGGGAAATGCCAAGGCTACCAACCCGGATGCCACTTCTCCGAGCTCGTCCCAGGATGCTTCCTTGGCTCCGGCCTGTCGTGAAGATGTCGTGATGAATCAGCGATGCGTCCGCCCTCTCCGCCCGGAAGGCGAAAGTCTTCCTCTCCTCTCCTCTCACTCCCGAACCATTCCCCCCTGGGCAAACTCAAAAGGGAAAAAGACCAAATCTCCCCCAAAACACCGTGGGACCTCCACGGGATCCGAATCCATCCCTGCTTCCTGGGCAGTCCCTCCGGCTCGGCACCCCTGGCCGTGAAGTTGGAAGAGATGTGGCTGGACAACAGAGGCGCCAAGACCAAGAGAGGCACCACCTCGGTGCATCCCGGCATGAAACGTGCGGCGCGAAGCGCGGTGCAACTCGCTGTTCCACGCGCCGAACGGGTCATGGCAGGGGGGTGCAGGGGGAAGTTGGAAGGTCGGCGGTGGAGAGTGAAGCCGGAAGGCAGGTGGGACCGGACTGGAACGCTGCCTGAGGCCTGAGGCCCTTTGTGAGAAGCATGACCTCATGCTGTGAGGCACACACCACCACCATCGCATGGAAGTGGATTGGCATGAAGACTCGGAAGACGCTTCCCTAACTATTGGTGAGATCGCGGTGGATTGGTCAAGATCGATGGTATCTGCCTCATTCTTCGCCTGGATCACATGCAAACCCGTGGTGTTCAAACTGCCCTGAATGAATTCCCAAACAGGTCAAAATCGGCCCCCCTGTTCAGGGACCCTTGGCCTTGCGAATTCCTCCATAACCGATAACCCTTCGTTCTCCAAGCAAGGTTGTTGCACCCTTCTGCACCACCAACATATACCAGGACCCACGGTCGCTTAATGGACTTAACATGACTTATTAACCTCTTTTCGGTGCTAAAAACTAGACACCCCATGGCCAATTGGCCCTGGTATGCCCTAATGCACCAGAAACCCCAAATCAACCTGGCCCCGCCAGTAGAACTCCACCAACAAAACCACCCGCCACCGCATCACCACCCTCCACCACTCCCGATTTGACCCCCAGCTAGGCCCTGGCACCGCCATATCCTGAAAGAGCAACACGCCCAAAGACCTCCGTCACGCCGACCGGTCGGTTGGTCGCGGCCGACCGGTCGGTTGGTCGCGGCCGACCGGTCGAGTGGTTTAGAGTTTAGGGTGGTGTCAGTGAAAGAGGTTCGATGGGATGGCACGTTTGTGACCCCAAGTTTGGTGGTTTAGATGGAGCCCCCATGAGCCCCCTATAGAAGTCTAAGGCATCTTTGGGGTGCCAGTGCCATCTATTCTGAAACCACGGTCATGAAGTGGCATCATTTGACACATCATCATTCTTGAACGTCTTGAATTGTCAAATCAAGGAATCTACAGCAAGAAGTCTATGGTCCCCAGTTGGAAGTCCCTGGCAGGCGAAATCTTTTCCGGATGACGTTTCCAGCGCCAACCCATATACCCCTCGAAGCCTTCGCTCAAATCTGAACCCTGGTCATTCATCTCAAGGTTCTTATATATGGCCTCTCTGAGTGGGAAATAGACCTCGCGCGTGACTCGCCTCGGTGGTGGTGCCTTCCCTCATTGCGAACGTCACCGTGACTCGGAGGCGGAGTGCTGCATCGAACAACGCCGGCGGCGGACCGAGGCCCGAGGCGGAGGCGGAGGCGAATCGGAGGCAGAGCGAACGAGCTCACCCACCGGTTTCATCATGAACTTTGTGACACATACAGAGGAAGAGAGAGAGAGAGAGAGAGAGAAAATGAGGGGGAAAAAGTGTATATAGGTTTTTGTATTACACACATATATTCATATATAAATTGAATCCTTACCAAATGTATGTGTATGCTATTGCTTGAAAATGAATTTACAGTAAATTGGATTCGAGTGGTGAGTGTTGACCTGCAATCTCTCAACCACCACACCCAGGAGTGTTGATTGACACTCTGACTTCTGAGTGCCCTTGCGCTCGCCCAAAGCGAGTTCCCAGCTGACGCTTGTCTCGCAACAGTTGCAACGCAAAGGCCTCCGACCGAGCACGTGTCGCGGGCGGCGGTCGTTTGAAGCGAAGCATCTGGAAAATGCCTGCCGGTGAGCCCTGCCAAGTCCATCCAGCCCCCTACCAGGTGCCACTGCTCCCTTCCCTTCATCCTCCAACCGGGCCACCAAACAACCAACCGGCCGAGGCCCCCGACGGAGCTCGACAAGGATAAGCCGCCTCCCATCAAAATGCATCCGCCCAGGTGGAGCCTCGGGCAGAGCCAACGCCTCAGCTGGCTGACAGCGGATGGAGGTGAGGTGCTTCATCTCCGAGATGGAGGTGGACTGGACCTTCTTGCGAGGCGAAACCATTTCCATCTCCGCGCCATGCTCCCTGAAGTTCATGGGCAGGAAGACCAAAGCCGGCCACTTGTTCATTCAACAGGAGCGATGTCGGAGTACATGGCACACGTCGTCGACCGTCTGAGTCTCTAATGAGTCTCTGGGTTGGCCGCTGTGCAACTCAGGAGATGAGTACAGTAGATCAGTGGGATCCATCCACCCCAAGTAAAGGCTTCAACATGGTTCAACCACGGAAAAAACCTCAAAACCTCTGACACCACCGCAGGTAGGTCTCTTCTGTTCTTCTCACCCTCCGCTGTTTCGACCAACTTGGGCCCACCAGGATCCTTGGCGCGGAGGCTGCGATGATGCCGCCCGTGAGGAAGAATTGGGCCTGGCCACACGAGACGAGGCGAGACGACGCCGGGTTCACGAGGGTTCCCGGCAGGTCCGGCCGGGAACAAAAACCATCCACGTTCGAATGAAGTGCTGAAAGAGATGCGTCCAATCCATTCCAATCCCCCAGCACATGCAACTGGGTGCCCAGAAATTCATTCATCTGACAACCCAAAAAAAGAACCCGGGCACCTGGATCTTGCGTCCAACGTCGTCCCCTGTCGTTCCCGGCGTATCCCGGCGTTCCTCCGCCCTCGCGACGAAGCGTGAATCGACCGGGCGGCCCCGGCCATGCCCAGACCAAAGACCTCAGCAGACGATGGGAAGAGCAGCCGAAGCGGCTCTTCCAGCCGATCACGGCATCAGGGGTGGAAGAAGAAAAGCAGCGGCCAATCGGACGGAATGCCTCATGTTTCATACACGGAAGGAATGCCTCATGAATGTGGGGAAGCCAATTCCCCAACAACGGTGTAGCAGGTATAGAATCCACTTGTCCTGGGGTAGGCTGAAACAATTCTGTTAAGGTTTAACTACACCAGGGTGCATGGGGGTGGCATCTCTTCCAGTCCCTCAGTCAGATCGATCCGCTCCCTCTTGGCCGATCGCTGGAGGATCGCTGGAGGGGTCGGAGGCGTCTTGAACCCTTCGACACGCAGATCGTCGGAGGTAGCAGATCGTCGCTGACCAAGACGGAGAAGCTGCATGCTGTTTAATAGAGTTCCAACTCATCTACTCGATGTGTGACCAGTGGAGGGGGTTCCTTGCATGTACGCGACTGGTCATGTACAACCCAATCGAACCCCATGTCCTCTACACTACACTCTTGGCTCATCCATGCCATGCAATGGGTTCATCCATCCACATCACGATGGCAGGCAGCCCACTGGGCTACCTATTCGCGAACAGATGAATGCCACGTGGCTCGCCACGGCAAGTGCTCCCCCCCGTCCGTTGCCACGGCACATCATTCCGCATGGCAATCACCTTCCGCACGGACAGCTCGAGCCCCGTCCTGGGCGACTGTGGGAGGTGAAGCCGGGTTGAACACACTTGGACATGGTAGACTAGCGTGGTATATCTGGTCTTGGCCAAAGGTCTGATTCCTGACATGTTGGAACAATACAGAAACAACCAACTCTTCCTGATGGTTGGGTTTTTCCAGGTGTCCAATGCATGACGATGGAAGAACCAGCACCAGACCCCAGCGGTCTCCCGGTCCATGGGAATGATTCGATCGCTGGAAAAAGGGGGATTCGGTAGTGACAGAATTGGTCTATTGATCTTCCCTGGTTTTGGCGTGGGAGAAATGATTCGATCAATTGGTCATTCAATCGTCTGGAAGTAGGTCTGAAAGCAAAGAAACAGGACGGCCCCCAACCCTCCCCCTTTCAGGGATCAAGGGTGCTCCTCTGCACTGAGCCTGTTGCGAGCGGCTCCAGGCCCTAAAGTTCCTCACGCTACGACATCCCAATTGGGGGGCCCGAATCGTCCAGAGTTGGAAACCTTTCCAGGTTAGGAGATGCCAAGGTACGACTCACAGGTGCCCCAAAGAGGTCTCCATTGGCACCATATCCCTCGATCAAACTGGTTCTGAGAGGCTGAATGGGCAACAAACCCACAACTGGTTCTGGAGTCACCTACTATCTACAGTTCCTGCCGAGAGAACCCTGTTCCCCACCAGAATCCCCCCCATTCCGCCGTGCTTGGGGTATAAGTCCTCAGCTGAAGGACGAAATCTCGCATCAACCCCGAAACACCATGGCTTGACCGTGGCTTTCCCATCGGTTTCGGCTGCCAACAGAGGTTGAAGGACCCTAGTTCGCCTATCCCATAGGTACCCCAGTAAGGTCCTATTAAGGACTTAACCTCTCTTGGTGCTTTCCGGTGGCTTCTTTCAACCATGGGTCGGTGGCATTTCTATCAAGCCTTCCCTCGCACAACCCGGCTCGCACCACCCGGCTCGCACAACCCGGCTCGCACCCAGGCTGGCTGCCCCGGTGGAGCGGCTCCCCAAGCGCCCAAGGCACTCGAAGAGGAAGAAAATGATCCCAAACTCTGCGATCCGGTGGCTCACGTCCTCAGATCGATAGATCGATGAACACCCGTGGTAGTCCCAGTTTCGCCGGCTTCTTCAAGGCCTACCTTCATCCCAGAAACATCCAGAAATCAAGCCTTACCACCAAACCAATACAGAAACGAGCTTCCTACGTGTTGCCCCGGCTTCGCCCGGGTGCCCACCGTGCACCCGAGCTCCCAGCCGCGATCCAGGGCAAGTATGCTTTGGTTTCTGGTTGCCTCCTCTTTTTTCTGGGGGCACTTTGCTTCGAAGAGGACAGAGAGCCCGCTGGTCACCACCCAGGCCACGCACCACACATCTGCCAGGGTGCAACGTGACTGATCAGGTTGAAGCCTGTCAACGGTTCACCCACTTCGCACGCACGCACGCCCTGCCCCGCGCGTTGCTCGCGCCCTGGGCAGGTCAGAAAGACGGACGTCAAGGGGTGGCTCGGCCATCCGCGCAAACCCCAGGAGCTGGACCCCGAGGCAGCCGCGCGCGACGTCCGACCGGACGCCGGGCGGCCCTGCCTGTCGGGCCCAAAACGAGGCCAATGAGCAGGAACCCCACGATGGGCCTCGGGCGACGAAGAAAGCAACAACGGATCATTGGAATCACTGGAAACTGGGTCATGAAGTCTCCTGAAGAATAACATAACAAGGCATATGGCCTATATTAATACAACAATGTGATCTGATGAGTCATTGGCACTTTTTTTGGTATTTCCATCTGAGATTTAGGGGTTGAAAACAATAACCACACCACCAAAAATGGCTGGTAAAGAACGTGGCTGGTGGCTTCAAGGATGACCTCGCACCAGGAGCATCTAGCAATTGTGGGGAAAACGTCATCGCACGGACATTGAAAACATGGTAATTGGGTGGCTGGTGCTAAGGCAGGGTGCCTGGTTCAAGGTCATAGCTGAGAGGTTGCGCAGGTTTGCTAAGATTCGTGGGAGCCCACAACCTTCCCGGATGGTTTTATTACCGGCTAAAATTACAACTCCCAAGCAGGCAGGTTGCGACGATGGCCAAAAAGGTTCCCCAGCTTTTCTGAGTTCATCTGCAAACAAACACACAGACTGAAGTGTCTGGCATGGCGCTCTTTTCACGGCGCTCGCTGCTCGATCTTCTTTGGCCCCCCTTTGTGGAACCAAGGCCGGCAGTGAAGGCAACCACACCAAGCGGCGAAATCGCTACACTCCCTGGTTTGATGGAAGTGGAAGTTCGTCACCTGTTTGGTCTTTGGAAAAATGTGGTCATCCGAACCCGCGGCGAACCCATTCACATAACCTTGGAATCATTCCAAAGAGTGTAACTACTTCCAACATCACTCCGAAACGGGCCCCTTCCACGTCACTGACGCCGAAAACATCGCGGCATGATGGCACTATAAAGTCAAGGAGAGCTGAGCACTGGGAACTCCGTATAGCTCCTTGCCTTCCCTGCTTTCCATGGGAAATATGGATACTTCCGGCTCCGGAGTCGCTCCCTGAGCTGACCAGCTAGAGAAGACAGGAAAAAGGTGGGGACACCCCCTGATGAGCCTGATGAGTGAGTCGCGCCATGCCGAGAAAAAATAACACTGCCCCAGTTGAACGTCCAAGAGGACTGGCAGGAGGACTGGGCGTGGGCCCAAACTCAGAATCCCCAACCTCTGACTAAACACATCCATCCCATCATCAAAAGCCTCTGACTAAACACATCCATCGACGTGGTCGCCAAAATGGTGAGAACCGGGAGGTTCTTCCAAAATCTTCATGGCAACCTTGCTGAGAACACGGAGTCCTTTTCAGCCCCCCAAAAAATCCACCAATCGGAGCTGCTGGGAGGCATGCGCTACGCCCGCAGAAGGCACGCACCCTCTTCCAAAGATCTAAAGATCTGTTTTGAGCTGGCATCCAGGACGCAGGACTCATAAACCATCTTGAGAGTCGGGTCAAGCTGGGATCTTTGGGGTATTGGAGGTTGTTGGTCTAGAGTTGGTGCCAGGCTTGGTGTTTGGAAGCCGGGACCCGAAGTCTGATCCAGGATCCACTGCTGCCGCAAGCGAGGCCCGAAAGAAGATCTGGGAGCATTTGATCTGGTTGAGCGCACAAAGCACCCTCAACAACATCAACACACCCGCAGTCGTAACAGGCGAGGAAGTCAGCCCGCGAATATCGAACCATAGATTCCATTCGACTCCTGTCCCAACGGCATGGGGCCACCCTGGATGTCTCATGGACATGCTTTCTACCTGGACCATCCTGTCTGGGTGTCCTGGCTGGACTACCCTGCACTACCATCCGGGATCTCCAGGACATCCATCCAGGTCTGGGATGGTCCTGGTAATAAATGAACCTTCTTCTACTTCACAGCCCTTTCTTCCGGTCGTTCGGGCCTTGCGAAACGCCGTTCACGGTTCACCCTTCACTTCTGGTACTCGCCCCACTCGCGATCGTCCCAGATATCTCCACTGCCACTGGGTCGTTGTAGTCTCACCTCGCACGGTCGACGTCCGTCGGTCCACAGAGTCAAAGAGTTCGCATTCTTCCCATGCACAAGTGGGAAGAATGAGTTGATTCCGCCGGAATAGTGGTGAAGGGTCGGAGGGTCGTTGGGGTCGGAGCTTCTCGTGGGTCGTTCGGCACGCGGCCAACGGTCCGATGCTCTTGGTCGCGTCCGATGGGGAGAGGTGACCGGAACTTCGTGGCCCAGTTCGGTCACTGGGCTCTCAAGTGGTTCGGTCACTGGGAAGGTCCCCCATCCACGGATTGTTAGGGGTACCAACAGAGGTTAAGTGACCTTATAGGACCCGTAACCTGGGGTACCTATAGTATTATAGGATAGTCTAGTTCGGGTTCTTCGACCTCTGCTGGTATACATCAAGGGTTTGTAACCTCATATCGATGGATGCACCTCTGCCGAGGTGTGTTGCACCCCAGCAGCCCCCAACAGCCCACGAGTACGCGACAAAAACCGCCAGTGCACCACTTCCGGGAGGCCAATGCCACCCACCACACCCAAGCTGCAGGACTTGAACCTGGATATTGCAATTGGGAATATATCACTTGATTCCATTAGGTTCATGAAGGGAAGAACTTTTGTTCACCTGAGCCTCCAAAAACCTGGGCACCCTGATGAGACGTTTCTTTCCCTCCCTCGCTTCTCCGTCCAATGCCAGAGGACAAATCCAGAATTCCCAGTCGCGGGGACTTCGGACGAGCAGCTTCCATGCTCCCCGCTTTCTCGTGGGAGGCGGAGCTGGGCTTTCGGCCGGGCGTGCCGGTCACGGCCTCCGGTCCGGCCAGGCGTGCAGGACTTCGAGAGGAACTTAGGGACCAGTAGAAGAAGCTGGGAGGCCAGGGGAGGTACTTAGGGACGACTTAGGGACCCTCAAAGAGGTCCCAAACACTGAATCAAGCTGGGAGGCCAGGGGAGGCCAGCTGCGCTTTAACAAAATTCGCTTCAGTTCGGCTCCGTGCCCGTGTTGCTCGAAACCTTTCGGCGGTTCAGCCGTCTCAGACAAGCAGCTTCAGCCGAATCCCGCCGCTGCACTCAGTTCTTCTGTGCGGGGGCACACGGTCCGAAAGCATTTGCTCCAAGTCGGTTCAGTTCCGTGTGGGGTTCACTTGAGGAAGGCCTTCCTGATGTAGTGAGCTTGGGGAAGCCAGGTGAGCAAATCCAACACCCAAAGATACCCAAAGAATCCCAAACAGCCGTTTTGATGTTGATTGACTCCTTCGGAAATTCCGGGACAACGGTCCGGCATGGACCGGCACCCGCCCCCCACCGGCCCCCGCCCCATGTCCGGTGCCCCTTTCTTCGCGCCTCCTTGGGCGGGGTCCGTCGGGGACCTGGAGAAGAAGGGCTCTGGATGGGCGGTGGAGGGGGGTGCTCGATGGATACCCTACCGGTTGAGGCACGGACCTCATTTTCTGCTGCACCTTCATCACACAAACAGCGCCCAAAAACACCCACGCACCGGTGAGGGGGGTGGACTGGACCCGGGGGACGTCCGGCACGTCCGGTCGGCCGCCAGGATTTCGCCAGTGGCAGCACCAGCACCAGCGGCCCCGGCCGGTGAACGAGGAGAAGTGACGATCCGTTCGGGTCCAAAAAGGTGTGCATGCTCAAAAGGCCAGGGGGGGGGGGGGGGCTGCGGCACCCGCTTCGCTGGTGAGACCTGGGTGCGCCGCACCAGTTGGCAGGAACTTCGGCTGAGTCCCGATGATGAGACCTGAGCGCTCCGGAGGTTGGTCGTCGAGCGGGAGGGTGGAGAGGAGTTCGACCGGCCCAGCACGGCCCAGCACGAGGGGTCGACCTGGTGTCGAAGAATGCGCGGAAACACCTGCGAGTGGCCGGTCTTCGGATTTGTTGGTCGGGTGACCGGGTCTTTACCTTGGATGTCTTCGGCACACAAACAGGCCTGTTCAAGGGCACCCCAGTCATCAAGAAACCCACGAGTTCCTATCCATGGAGGAAGTCTGGGTGCCTGTCACATCCACTCTTGGATCTCATTGGAGGGAAAACTAAATCACACCACCCAACTCCATGTGACTCCTGGTTCTCCACTTCAGCGAGGTTCTTTTTCACTTCGCCCGTCCCTTTCTACCTCTCATTCTCTGCTACCGGCGTCGTTCTTTTCCGGGTCCCAGCACCGTGGGACGTGGTCTCCGAGAAGTGCGGGCCGGTCAGGTTGCGGGGCCTGCAGTGGGAACGACACTCGGGCTCCACGGGGGTCGGGAGTGAAAGGCTCGGTCCGCGGGCGAGACGAACACGAAGTGAGTTTGGGGGACTCTGAGCCTGGAGCCTGCGGGAGGCATCGAATCCAAATCATTCTAAAACTGGTGTGTGATAAAAGAGAGAGACCTTTCCGACCAACAAGGGGAAGGGAATGTCTGAAATCCTTTTGCATCGCAAACCACGGCACCCCGCGAAAGAAACTGTGCTTGCTCTGCTTCCTGCGCTTGTTAAAACCAAACTGCCCCCACCCCGCAAAGCCAGGGCCATAAGCACTTTAAGATGGCAACCCGGCGTTCGCTTTGAAGCAACTGCAAGTTCGCACGCGCTGAACAAGATCATGACTGTGCAGAACATGTGTTCACTGTGCTTTGAAGTACTGCAAATCATTGAGTAAAGCGTGCGCGCGCAGGCTTTTCTCCAAACAGCTGTTTTCCAGCGGCCTTTGCAACACAGTCGTCAGGTCAGCTTTGAAGACAATCTGGAATCTGGAGGCCTCCTGTCCACATGTTCAAGGCCTGGCTTCCGTTTCAAGGGGCCAGACTTGTAATACAAGAGCTCTTGACTCTTGACGTGCCATTTGGCTTTCAGTGGGGGGGCGCTCCTAGCCGCATGTTGGAGATTGGCTATCCTGTGCCACGTGTCAGGCAACTTGTCCATGGGTGGCGGACTTCGTGCAAGTGCAAGCCGTCACGATCGCAGGCAATGTGAAATAAATATGGCGGCTCCTCGTGTAATCGATGTTGGCTGGGACACCCCGCAGAATTGAAACCTATATACTAGCTGTTCAGACTCCCTGATGGCCTCCAATGTGTTGGGATTGAACAGAATCGGTGCTGGGTCCTGGACCACT